TTTTGTTGTTGGGTCGCTTAAAGACGAGCCAGGCAGACGGGTAAGTGAGTGAACTCCCGTCCCCCGCCCAAACAGCAAAAAAAAAACACGCCCCCGGCCCAAACAGCAAAAAAAAGAACACGCCCCCGCCCAAACAGCAAAAAACATGACACCCGAAAAGCCCAAACAACAAAAAAGACCAGACAACAAAAAAACAAACACTCTTACCAGCCCAAAGCCTGATGCAAGTCTTGGGCTTACAATCCCGGCCATCGGACTCGTGTGATTTGTCATCTTGGTTTCATGTGGCTCCAGGCTGCCAAAGCTGAAGCTTGCGCGTGCAAAGCGCATAACAGCCTGAGGGCGCAGTTTAAAGTCATCCAGAAGCTTCGTCTCCGGAAAGCATACGTGCTGATCGTGCTGCTTACCTGGCCCCAAAGAAACAGTTTTGAGATATCGTCGGGAAAGCACCTGATTCGGACCGTGCACTTTTCTTTCAGAATGTGCACGTGGTGTGCTCAAGGAGAGCCACAACCTTTCAACAGTCATTAGCAAAGAATTGCAAAGACAACAGGAAGGGCAGAACGTGGCTAGCATAGTTTCTTAATTTGAATTTCTAAGCTCAAGCCGCGTATTGGCAGTCCCTGTCTGCCTTCTCAGGATTGGGTAGCAAGGAACTGGACCACGACCGTGCCAGATTGGTTCCACTATTCTGCCTCTTGGCCGACCTGTGTCCGAAGGTTTACCTGGCACCCGCAATGTGTAGCTGAGTTTGTATTTGTCGCCTGCAGGACTGGGTGTTTTGCATACTGGCCGTCATGGAGCTTTTCATCCGAATGGGCGCGCAGGGCCTTCCCTTTTTCTACGAGGCCTCGGGAACATCCTGGCATTGCCTTTGTCAGGCGTCAGGCGTGCTCCAGTTCCCTCGCCCCTATAGCCGTTAGTCTGAAGTCGCAGCTACTTCTTCAAGGGTTCAATTTTGTGGTCATGCTTGCCTTCCGTTTGATCCGGACGGGAAAATGCACCCTGATTGGGCAGTTGCATAGTTGCGCATAGTTGCATCCAGGATCAGTGGCGGTGGAATCTGTTTGACACCGTCGTTGTCTTGACGCAAGTTGCAGACCTTGTGGTGAGCACCTTGCCTGTCAACAGGCAAGCCGAAAAGAGATTGGAAGCATGTGACGTGCACGGTTGATAGCCACATCCCACAAAAAGCACGTGCTGATCCTGACCAAAACTTGGCAAGACTGGTCTCTTCCAAGGCGTGATAGAGCGGTCTGAGTCCTTCAGCGAGGCTGCCAGCCAACGAACCATCCAAGGCAGGGGGCTTGAATGCGTCCATCGAGCCAGCTTGATAGCAACACACGTCTCCATGTTTTTGCAGCATGCTCGCCCAAGGTCTCAGAGTGCTGAAACTTGTCCCTTGTCGGCATCGCGATAGCCAGCCCAGCACCATCTCAGCCTGCGTGGAGCTGACTTTTAGCTGACAAGGGGCCTGCCTCGTGTGTATGTGCAAATTGCATGGCTTTAAGGTGCGAATCCTGCGAATCGCCCGGATTGCTTCTGCTTTCCCAGAGCTTCACATTCTCATCAGCTCTATCATTGATACTCGGCAATATCTGGTACAGATGATGGCCAGGACTAGAACTTCCTGGCATCCAGTTGCCTCCCATCCCATCTTGGATTTCTTCATCTAGCTTGGAGATCCTGGGTTGTTTCATGCACATCTGTTTGCTTCCAGCCACTGCCAGCAATTGCCGTTCCATGATCTTCCACTATTTGACAGCCCTGCACCCGGCTTTCAACAGCCTTGGATTGGTCCTCCAGTTTGCTGCAAGCCGGTTGCATGCATGAAGGACTGTGCAACCCAGGACTCGCTCCAGTCACTCTTCTGGACGATGGTCCTGATTTTCGCCTGTTTGTATGGCGTTGCTGTGGCATCCTGCTTGCAGTAGTGCTGGGAAGCGTGCATCTCCACCAAAAGCACCCAAACACTCATTTGGCACCAATAGCAACGCAAGCTGTCTAGGTGCATCTTGTAGGATGCTGGATCTACAACGTGTGAGCCTGACTCGACACGCTCCAGAGTTGCACTCGAGGTCATTACCCAGGTCGTCTCAGACCATAAGATTGCGATAGGCGCGGCTGATGCTCTCACCAGAACAGATGGTTTAATCGGAGGATTTCAGCTGGTCAAGAAGGGAAAGCCCAACGCGCTAAGTTGCGCTGTTTCCGCATGGAAAACTGCCCCATTGGGGATTGGGGGGGCGTATGCGGGCATGTCAGGCCGAGAGGTCATGGAGCAGCACCATGAGCTACCCGGCAAGAAGAGCCCTTGAAAGTCTCAGAGTCTCATCCCTGCAAGCTATCCCTGCAGCAGTGGCATTCTGGTTCATACAGGCTAATGCTTCGTTTCTTTGGCTCCTTGGACTCCACGATGGTGGCTCTCTACATGGTTGCTCAGATGCAAGCACTGAGCATGGCTGTGACATTTCAAGCAAAGAAATGATGGCCTTGGCGCGCCGGACTAGGTGATATCTGAAGGCATTCATTGGCAGCTTGGCTTCTTTGGTTCTCTGCCTTTTTCAAAGGCCGTGTGCTTTCTCTGCGCTTTGAAGTAGGCCGCAAACCTTGAGGAGTGAGCTCATGGATCAGCTTGAAGAGACACTGGGCGGTTGGGTTCGCATCCTCTTCGTGGCTTTTACAGGACACGTGCAGTAAGAAATGTGATAGTACGCTGAAGTAAGCATGAGGCATATGGGTAAGCCCCGGAAATTTCACAAATGCGCGCCGCAATTAGCAGGAAGGCAGGCATCCTTCATGGTCACTCAGCCAGGCCGATGTAGCAGATTCGCACGCTTGCAACGGCTCCGGCAACCTAGCAGCGTTGTGCGCAGGATTTGAGCTCTTCGCAATGATGAACATCATCACGGCATGTTTCGCAGCTTGACTGAGCTGTTGCATTTGTGCTCTCTCTGGGAAATACGAAAAACTAAGCGCATCCTTTCGCTAATTTTGGCTTGCAGGCTTCCGGGTTGGCATGCGCCCTCCCTTCTCCCACCTAGTTGTGAAAGCGTGTATGAGGAGCAGAACAAGATTTAGCTGGGGCGGCTCCTCAAGCAGCATGTTTAGTATAAGAAAGCAGGGGTCTGACAACCAGCACCGCGCGAAAGCATGCGGATGTATCAAAAACAGAACTAATCAGGCTGACAGATTCCTCTTTGTTGGGAGGCCGGTCAGTTGAGCAGCTCAGGTAGATTCCGTCCCAATCTTAGCTCGGGTTTCGGAGCTTTTTTAGGCGCAGAGTGGCTCAGCATCTAGCCCAGTCATAGTCAGTCATGAGGCGCCGTTGTTGGGCTGTTCTTGCCTTATGCCTTGCGCTGCGAATTCACCATTCTGCTGAACAACTGACATGTCTTGCAACTCTTCAACTGATATTCCGTGGCTGCACACTTCTAGGAGGTGGCAGTTATTTGACGCCGTGCCAAAAGGCCAAATTACTCCTAGATCCACTGGAAGGGATACATCACGATACATGCATTCAATGTCAGGTCACTGAGGTATGGGTATGGGGAGGTCTTCAAATTTGCAGTTGCAAACCTTGCGTTTCTGGCAAAGTAGTCTGTGTGCAGGAATTTCGAGCAACCATCTGTAGACAAGTACCAGCACAGGCAATGACGTCGAAGCTGGAGAGACCGGCCCATGTCGGATTGTCTGTCGGAAGGGTTGTGGAAGAATCTAAGCATTGTACTCGTGATGGTGACAACCGCTAGTCAATAGAAAGTCGATAGAATCATGGTTCCCAGCATCGCAAGGCCATGAAAGTTGCAGCAAAGGCAGAAACAAAGGCTGGTTCACAATCTTGTCATTTGATTCAACAAGATGCGCAAGGGTTGTGGTTGTTATTTGTTCGGCGCAGAGACATTTGATCATATTGAGACCAAACACGAGACATCGCCTCTCCGTGGTGGTACAGGAAGTCTTGGACTCGCTGTGGGGTTTGCTTGGTCAAGATGCAGCAAGAGAAGCCAGGGGCTCAGATGGCATTCGCGATGCTCACAGCAATGCGCTCTACAAACCTCGCGCGGCAGGCGCACTCGGATGAAAAGATTGTCACCAGAGAGCAGTTCATCTCGACCTACGGCCATGAGAGCAGCCCTGCAGAAGTTTTCGCATGGCATGAGCGTGCCAGCTTGAAACTCTGAATTTTGGATAACTTTGGAGTATGGGTCTAATGTCTCATCTCTGTAGCTAGGGATTTTTGGTTGCGTCCGGATCCCTGCACGTTCACCATCGTTCACTCCCTTTCGGGTTATGTTGCAACTAACTGGCACTGTCACGTGCCATTTGAAAGCATAGCCTTCGGCTCACCAGAGGGAGCTGTCAAAAGCCCTTCAGACAACAGCCATGTCATCCTTTTGCCGCAAGATACTGCGAGGCATGCGCAAGTTCTTGGACTTGATCAATGCTCACACAGAGGATCCCGACCACGTCTTCGCAATGATTGACAGCAACAGGGCTCAACAATGTCACGTGTGCATTTCGACATTACCGTCACTGGTCGGGGTCTCCTTTGTTCGCACGGCATCTTTCAAGCAGAACACCAAGCCATATCATTCTGACTTTGGTGTGGGGAATTTTTTGGGAAACAGGTTGTGTTGCAGCCGTGGACCGGTAATCTGCAAAGTTGGCAGGTTTCTTGGGCTACAGTTGTCTTCAACCTTCCTGTGTTCAGCACCTCAAATCTTCAGGAGATGGCGATGGAGCCTTGACAGCTACTGAATTTCTTGTGTGCTGCGAGCGGCTGATGGGCCCATCCAAGGCCGGTGTGTGGTAGAGCGTCAATGCATCGACAGCAGCCCAGCAACTCCTAGGCATTCTGATCTTGCACTACTCGTATCACTAGTGAGGCAAACGCAGGAAGCTGTAGTACAAGTAGGTAGCTTATGAAGATCGTTGAGACGCTGCTAGTTCCAGGCGAGCATGATCGTGAGGATTGCCAATGAAGAGCAGATTGGCTGCAAGTTACAGTAAGGGCCACGGAGCTCAAACAGCTCTGGCCGGAAGAGGATTTTTGGGGTTGCCTTTCTATTTCTTGCTTCGAATTTCGGTTGTCCGGGGAGCGCCTTCCTTGGCTTTGGTATTTGATGCCTTTTGTTCAAGCAACCGTCATGCCGAAGCAAATATCCTACTATGCTCGCTGGGCCTATTTCCATTCCATGACACGAAAGCTACTGTAGCTCCTTGCTGGTTGCGAGAGTTCTTGTCTCCTGGGCCATGGGCAGCACTTGAGACCACCTGGTCTAACATTTCGGGCTCAAATGCTGGTTTCAGGCGAACCTCCCGAAACAGGTTTTTCCCTCCCCGCCCGAAAACCCCCCATCCAGTGACCCGCCGCTCCCACGCAGCTTAGCCCCCAGCCCCCCCCGGCTGAAATTCTGGAATTGTGTTTAAAGGAGTGAAGGGTCATCATGCGGAAGTTGATGTTACAGTATTTGCTAATGTGTGCATAAATAGGGGAGGGGACGCAATTCCAGTTCTGGAGCCGCTGCGTGTCTGATATTTCAATGCCTTACAGGCTAGGTGGCCCTCCCCCATTCGAAACGCTTGGAGTGACGGGTAGTCGTGGCAGACTTTCAGAAAAAACATGCCACCCCGGAATCCAAAGGCCTGCCTCCGCATCACTTGTGGACCTTCTGGGGTTGTTTCAACATGTCGTCAAGCTTGACATTTAGGGTGCAATTTTGCGATTCGTCCCGATAAAGTCTGGGTAGATACACTCTGGAACTGCATTTGAAGCGGCAATTTCGTTACCCGAGTTGTAAGGGGTTAATTAAACGTTCAAAAGGAATGAGTGACTTCAACCTGCACTGCAAAACCAAATCAGCTAAATGCAAAGCCCCGAAGGTCACAATGGCCTTAAGAACTGGGGATATGTTGCTTACACAGCTGGTCCAGATCTGCTTGAAAACTTGCAACATCCTGCAACTATACAACCAGCTCATTCCTGAGCAAGAGCAAGATGGGTAGGGCAATAACCCAAGGCGTGCAGACCGGAGCACCCATGTTTGCTTCTGCCAAGTGGGCGTACCGGCAATCGAGCTCGTAGCTCTAACTTGGACAACAGTACCGACCTTCGTTTGATTTAAAGGCTTGATTTGTCTAGGCTCCCAAAAGGTCCTGTGCTTCCAGGAGCCTTGAGGTCTATAGGTCCCATTTCCACTCAAGGAAACAACAGGCCCTCTGCGCAGCGCTTTCTTTGGAGCCAGCAACCGCAAAAGAGAGGCAAGGGGGAGGACAGTTGAAAGTTCAAAGTACGGGACGCAGAGAACCATCCGGGCGATCTTTTTGGACTTCAGAAAACACGGTGGCTCTACACGACCTCGCCGGCAAAAACCAGCAGTGCCGCAAGCCTCAACTGGAACAAGGCAGTGGCATGACGACCTCTTGGACGGCTGATGGCCGGATGAAATGACAAGCAGCACAAGACAACATGCCAGGAGGTCAGTACAGACTGTGGGCGGAGCACCTGGAGGGGAGAAGGATTAATGGACCAAGTCAGCAGGAAACGGAAAGATGACATGCAACTTTGGCAGGGGCGCAACCCTGTTTTGTCCTCGATGTGCAATTTGGATTTGTGCAACGCTTTGGAGCCCACATGCTTTTGCGTCTATGATGTCCCAGGCTCGCCTGGGTTAAGGGGGTGTTATCATGCCTTGTTGCCCGGGAGAGGCTGTTGCATGACAGGGAAGTGGAGGAAGCAAATGCCCAAGCAGTGCCAATCAGTCAAATGAAAGGGGATCGCAACACCAGGGCGTGTTTGTTAAGTGCCTGCAGGACGAAGAGAAACTAAATCTACCATTGAACGCGGATACATCTTAGAAAATTGGGCAAGCAAGAGCGACCACTGCGCAAATGGGAGCAGAACCGGAATTCACGTGCGTCAAACTTTTGCATTTTTCAATGATGCAGGCCGGTGACAGAGGTTCAAAGAATTGCAAGGTACAGTCGGTGGTATCTGCAAGCTCAGGAAGAACTGGGTGTAGCGCTTGGTTGGGTTCGGCAGCACCCCGGACTCCCCGGCTCCTGCAACTAACATGTTGATAGTATAGTTAGCCTGTGGGTTGAGCTGAGCTTTGCTTTTGCTGCTACAGTTCTTCCACCGGGCTGCTTGTGGTGAGCTGTAAGCAGCCTTCAGTTTCAAGCTTGCCCACCCGCCCGTCCTACGGGTCTTGGGTGTGCTGATATACTTCTGGCGTGCGTGCCAAAAGAGCCGCTGCCTCTTCGTTATTGCCACTTGCCCAGAAGGCAGAGTCTCGAGTCAAGATCGCCTGGAGGGATTGGAGGCCTTGCTGCCGGAACCAAACCTTCTGGGGGGCCAAAGCCACTCGGAAAGCAGACATCCAAGGTCGGGAGAGCAGGTAAGTGGGACAAGGACTCGGACTAGCCTGAGACGAGATCGCACCGAAATCTAACAAGGGATGTGGACAGCTCAAGACATCTCAAGTCGACTGACCGGGTAGGTTGACAAGAGGATCTGCGTACGAAGGTGGGGCCTATATCGAGGCCTAGCAAATGCTGCGGAGAAATATGATTGGTGGGGCCTTCTCTATGTTATCAAAGCATGTGTAGGAGAGAACGCCCAAGGACAGCATTACACGGGAAGTCCACGTGGGAAGATTGGATTGCAAGGCAGCCCCCGCGCAGCGCAAATCATAGATTTTGCAGTGAATCTGCACCTCGATTATTGGGATTCAGCGGGAAGATAAAGCAATAGGATTTGGGAACAAACGATACTGGCGACTTGTAGACACTGTACACGCATCTGCATTAAGCATGCAAGATTAAACAAGCCGGGCGGCGAAAACCCCTCTGCAGGGTAAAAGTAAAGACTTAGAGGGAAGACAGACGCCTGCGTGGTTTAAGCAGCTGGTGTGCGTGCTGACCATCCCAGGAATGGCAACCAGGAGAATCCTCCCATCATGCAGAGAACAGGTCCTACCCCAATGGTGAGCGCAATCTGATAGGCCGAGCATCCAAGAAGCGCACCCGATTGTCGGAGAGCCGCTCATATGACAATGTCTCGCTCTGAAGAGCAAATCCTGGAAAAAAAGTCGGTTGGCATTGCAGGAACAGATTCGAATCAGGTGGCAAGCCCGACCCGAAAGCACCCGGAGAGAATGCAGCGACCAGAAGGAGGGAGACGGGGCCTGGACAACATCAGTCTAAGAAGGAGGAGGAGAAGCATGTCCGGAAAGTGGGAACAGTCAATAAAGAACATGGGGTTGCATAATGACCCGGCTTCTCTACATTATGTCATGAGTGTCCCAAGATAGCGTTTGACCGGTAAAAACGATAAGGAGAAAAACGAAAAGGTTAAAGGAGCCCGCAACCACGGTAAAATGATAAGGAGGTTCAGACAACCCCACATGGCTCGACTACCAGAAAAACTTCGAATTCAATGGTGACACCGACACGAGAGCACCCTGCAGCAGTGCGCGTGCGCGGGGCTACAGGAGCCCATCTCGTCATGAACACGACAGTCCGCATCATTCTCAGTCAGGCACAGTAGCGAATTTATTGCTACTCGCGATGAAAGAGTTTTCATTGCCTATTTGCAATTTGTGGCGGGAAATGGTCAAGATTTTATATCATTTGATGTCAGCTTTGTTTTGGTAGCAAAAGAACTGAGCGAATCCGCGTCCTCTGCCAAAAAGGAGAAAAAGAAATTGGCAAGATCATCTGAACTATCGGGAGTTCAGGGTTAAAAGCTTGAATCTGGTTCTCGAAATAATGTGTTGCATTCTAGGAACTCTTGCTACCTTCATGCAGCCCTGGCCTTGCAGAGGCGTGAGAGGGCCGGACAGCAGGACGAACGGCTTGTCAGACACATGAGCTATAGTCTAAACTCCTTTAAGGAGGATTATATAGGGGCTTATATAGGGGATTACTATGGGGGATATTAAGGGGGATACTAGGAGTTTAGACTATAGCTCACATGGTCCTTGCTGATCTGATCATCAGTGTCGCCATCAAGCACTCAGCAATGTACATCAGAATTGCAAGACGTGCCTGACGGTCAATCCTAATTATGGTGAAGACGATGATGACGACGACGAGCTGTCTTTCTTTGGCCCGCAGCTTGAGGTGGTGTCAAGGTGCCCGTATCACAGCACTGCAGGTGCATAGTAAACAAGGCCGCTGAGCTGGAGGCCACCCCTTCACTCACTTTTCGGAGGCAGGCAAGCTAAGTTAGATATTATAAAAGTTGTGTTCGGGGCCAAATGATTCATCCCTGACATTAGCCAAAACGGCCTTGGCATTCCCAGCAGGTTCTCTACTTGTCCCAAAGCTTCTCAACTCATCTCAATTCACAGCTAATCTACACCCCGTATCATAACGCCATAGAGCGCTCAAGCCATGGCGTTGCCTTCCCTTGATCCTGCCTGCTTCCGTCGGCCGAAGGGCAAGCAGTCTACGCGGCACCTCTACCTGGCAAACTGCGGTCGAGGTCTGGGCGAGACAGCGGAGACAGTCTTGGCCAGGATCCAGGACGCTGGAGCTGAAGCTGTTGGGCTGCACGTAGGTGAAGGAGGTGTCTCCTATGCAAGCTTCTCGGATGTACCTACTGCTGAGAAGGTAAAGTCGCACCTAGAGGGCTCGAGCAAGTGGGTCGTGCGCTTCGCAGAGATGACCTCCGAAAGTATTTCCGGAGTTCTGCTGCCAGGAAGTGTGGAGGCAACTGAGCACATTGAGGTACCAGGCGTGCATGTTGTGGATAACTTCGTCACAGATGAGGAGGCGTTTGCCTTATTACAAGAGATTGATGCGCGGTCATGGGACACAAGCATCAAGAGACGCGTGCAACACTACGGCCACGCCTTCGATTATGCTACCTTAAAGATTGCACAGCCGGGGAATGTGCCGGAAATACCTGCTTTCTCCATGGACCTCATTGCCCGACTGAGCCAATCTGGTTTAATGCCCAACGGAGTAGACCAGCTCACAATCAACGAATATGAGCCAGGTGTTGGTATTGCTTTTCACGTGGATGCGCATTCTGCGTTCAAGGATGGGATTGCTGCAGTCACGCTGGGCTCTGGAATTGTAATGGAGTTCAGGAAAGCTGACGAGACCAGTGGGAAGCTATCTATGGGAAGACACCATCGCATGGCACCGCCGCAGCCAGGAGCCGATGTCTGCAAGAACATTTGGCTTCCGCCAAGGTCCCTGCTAATCATGACCGGTGAGGCTCGATTTGCTTGGCAGCACGGAATAGCTTGGAGGAAAACTGATTGTCTGAAGGAGGGCCAGGTTGTGACGCGCTCACGCCGTGTATCTCTGACCTTTCGGCGCGCACGTCGTGGACAGCCATGTGAGTGTCGGTGGCCAGCTCTCTGTGATAGCCAGAACCCCAAAGCCCACGGCATGCCAACGCGGGTTGGCCTGTCGACCGCTGACTGAAGCAATGCAACTGCTTGCAGACTGCTTGCAGAGGTTGGCAAAATGAGAATTTCATCAAGCGAAGTCCATGATCCGTTTAGTTTAGACCTCTGGCCAGCCTTGCAGGACAAAGCTCTCAAGCAATTGGCCGCTGACATCAAGGCCGACTGCATTCCTCATAATGTTCATAAGCCCGCACTGGGAGGGGGGGGGAGGCTGGCGAGATGTGGGTGTGTGTCTGTGTGCAATCTGCAGACCTGTGCGGTCACCCAATTCAGTTCCTGTCTTGTTCGACGTATTCTGGATGAGCGGTGCTGGCTTCTGCTACCACACAAGCATCCCGCCTATTCATGTTACTTGATTTTGCTGCAGGCGCAGCATGAAGAAACTCTCAACATTCTGTGGCGACTTGGCTCCAAAATGTCGGCTTTTGCCCAATGGAGGGCAGACTGCCAAGCACGGTCGGGCGCATTGTGGTCTGCACGTTGCTGTCTCAACAGTTCTCAGCTTAGAGGTGTACCTACCAAGCGGCAGCTGCTGTCTGCACCCAATGCTTTCAAGAACCACGCGACCCTGCCCTAAAACATCTGACGCCAGTCACATCTGCTGCTGCTTGACACAGACAGACAAAGCGGAGGCAAAGAGGTTCCTCGAGATAGCTGCGAAGCTTCAAACTCCCTGGTTGAATCATCCCGGTTGTGTGAAGTTGGAGCTCAGCAGTTCTCGATGAATATAGTTGAGCATATGATGAGCTGCCAGGCAGAATTATCAGGCTTGCCAGGAGCTGGCTTTGCCGCACCCGTGCAAGCGCTTGCACAGTCTTTCAGCCCGTGACTCGCCGTCTGAACCCAAGGGAAATGCTTGGTTCTGTCGAACGATTGAGATGGCAGCTTTTTCGCGTTGCTCTGTCAAGCGAACTGCATGGCCTCTGTGAGTAGACCTGGCAGATGCCAAGAAATGCAGTTCAGAGTCCTGCTTGTCAGTTCACTGCTTGGGTGCTGCCAGCAAACTGGCAGCACACGAGTCTGTTCACTTTTTTCACGCAGAACCTAGCCACCTAGCCAGCTCGAGGTCCGGCGGCAGCTTGAATGACCTTTGAACGAGCTGCAAAGAGGGTACAGCATGTTGAGAATGTTTCAGTCTTGGCTGATAGTTGTTTACAACACTGTCTCGGCAGTTTCCGAGACTCGCATCATGGCTTCAAGTTGTCAAGCTGCTTGCACAGGCCGTGCTGTATGCTTTGTGGGGCAGAGTGGATCTTATTGAAGGCTGCGTGATTCCTGGCAGCTCTACCTCAAATCTACCTCCAGCGAGCGCAGGAAATGGTCTCATGCGTTGGAATCCCAGCCTTCCCACCTTGCGGGCCTTGCATCCCAAAGGCGGAGTCCAAAGTTGACGACGCTTAATGTAGGCTTAATGTTGTGATTGTGGGTAGGAACATCAAAGTACTTCTGTTCACTCACCTTCCTCTACTTGCTGCCAGCAGCAGAGTACCGCAAGCTGTTCATCTGGGCCTGAGGCTTCTATAGCAGCCTTGAACTCTCTCGCTTATCACGATGACCATGTCCTGCGTTCCTTCCCAAACCTCATACACGTAGCAAGCCTCCCTCCAGCAGCCAAAACCGAGGGTCCCTGCTGGAAGCCTCTGACGCGTCTGCACATCGGGTGTATTGCAGGGCACGTGATGATAGGGAACCTGATGAACAGAGACTCTTGACGTGTCCAAGTCGAAATTCTTAGCCACAGATGGGCGTTTGGCAGACAAGTAGACATGCAGATGCTTGCGTCCGATCCACTTCCCCTCACTTTCGGTTGTCCGTGGGCAAGAACCGCCAGGACAGCAAAATTGCAGAAAGCTTCTGGCAGTTGCTGCCTTTGACGTATTTGCAATCCCCAGCTGCCATAGCTAATACTACAGCGGCTGTGTGATTGTGGTAGCAGTGCAATAGCTGGCCTGTTCCCCGCGCCAAGGAACAGCATTCAACTGGCACGATCAGTTGCCCAGCAAGGCCAGGCGGTGGAAAATGTCGAAACACATCAAAACACATTACAACATTCGGTCATATTCGGTCCTTGTCTTGCTGGAATATGCTGCAGGAGGTCTTGTTCTTTGTGCTGACCTGCACCCGCAACGACTCCACAGTGCAGAGCGGGCTTGTTTGGAGGTCGCGGCTTGAGAGCGAAGTCGAGTTGCTGCCGTTGCCAGGTGTGGAGTAACAGCTGCATCTACGGTCTGATACTTACAGAGGCGATCATTGGCCATCGCAGAATCGAATCAGTAGTGCAGGTGTTGAACGGCACATTGAGCTTTTGCTGGCTGATGCTTGCTCGCTGTGAAGGCCTCAGCGTTGAAAGCCTCACGCCACTTGAGAGCAACCTGCAAGCTTGGCATCTGCTGTAAGTAAGTTTGAAATCCTGTGCACCAGCTCTACAGAAGCAACACCTCAGGTTGTTGACTGTGTTTGTCAGGCCTTGTGCTGTTGCAGGCTCAAGGCCGCGACCCAATCCTCCAAGGCCTGTTCACATGCCTTGCCTCAAGAGGCTTTTGAAGGTCAAGCCAAAATTTCTTCAGGCTAGCCTAAAGCTCCCAAGATGCGTCAGGTGAAAGAGGTCAGGCTCCCACCACTCCTCCTGCAGTGTGTTCCCCAATCGTTCCCATCGAAGAAGCCCTTTCTGTACTGTTCCAGACCTTGCACTTGCTACTTGTTGGATGTGCCGCGGTACGCCCAATGCACTCAACCCGCAAACCATGTCAGCGTAATCGTGATGTCCAAGCAGGACAGCGAAGGACTTGGTCCGTGTCCAGAAGAACAAAGCCAAAGCTTGGGACTGGACCGTTACCAAGAAGAAACTAGAACAATAGATCCATGGATTCAGAGACTGGCTAGCGCTGTCCACTACCTGAACTACCGGCTTCTTGATCCCCCTACGCGTGAAAAGCAGAGCAGCGTACGCAAGCCCTTCCAGCCTTTGCCAGCCTTCCCACCAGCCTTGACCAGTTTTTTGTCTGGGCGATTCTTTTGAGGTTGTGACGGTTGTGCCCCAGGCACCAGCTCCTGAGGCCTGGAGTCGTCGTGGTCTCAGTTGTGAACCTCTGTGGAGAATCATGGAAGTGCAACTCTGCAACGCATCACAGCTCCGCAGCTTGTGCAAAGTGCCTGCCAACCGTTCACACGGGCATCAGGTCAGTGGAGTTTTCCTTGCACCGCCCTGGTCAGACGAGGAGCGCGGAGCTGTTGAATCCTGGCACCCTAGTACCTAGTAATATTGTAATGAACACAACCCCCCAATCTTCTAAACATTCACATTGTGCTTACAGCGCAAGACCTTGCCCAAGGGCTTGCTGCCGCGAGGGGAAGCAGCCTTCACAGTGCGCCGTTTGGGCGCTGCCAGGGCCTTTGAGCTTGCAAGCGGATTTTACTGCGTAAGGGCGAAGTGCAGTAAGCCAATAAGCGTTGTCTGTTCATCCTTAGCCTTCCACTGCTGGATTCTTGTATGCTCTGGTTTGCTCTGGTCGTTTACAGTAGCTATTCCGTCGCAAGTGCTTGAAAGCGGTGCACGTCAGCACGCAGGGTCTAGATGCCGCCAAGCTGCTGGAGGATTCTCTCAAGCTGGGGCCAGAGCCCCTGTCAGGGTGAGGTTGCTATACCCTATCTGCAGACAGCTAAACCGTGCTAGACCCATAGCCCCAACCCTGGACGTCAATCCTCGGCAGATGTTTATAAGAGCGGCAACTTCAGGTTCCGAAATAGGGGAATGGACAAAATATCATAAAAAGTTCGCTCGTGTCTGAAGGCAAGGTGCTGCCCTCTTCCTGCCACGTGCCCTCGGCTGAGCTTCCGGGCTATTTGCCCTTTCCAGAAAATGTGAGCTTTCTGGTTCAGTGGCACACGCAGCCAAGTCATGCCAAGACCATTTGAGAGTTCCTGGGGAGTGACTGGAGCAACTGTTCTGCCCAAGGTGACGCCAAACTGCGAGGTGACCCTTCGCGAATCTATGTTCCAAACAGGAAGCACCAAGTAAGTGCATGTCGGGGCGAGCTTTTAATCAAGACGCTGCGATTAGCCATTAGCCTCCAAAGTCCTGGACACATCTTGCATCGTATAGGACAGAATACAAGAAGCTCCGTGAGTTCTTGCTCCTAGTCTGGAACAGCTTTCGGAAGCATGAGTTGAGGATTGCAAGTCGACGAAGGCTTTCGATAAGAAATCAGTTTTGTTCAGACTCACAAGGACTACTTGCTTGCTAGATCCTAAAGTCGTAGCTTGTCGAATCATGTGAGGAAACTGCTTTCCCAACCTCAAGCTTCTTGACCGCCGCCGCGACACAAGCTTCATCACATATATACCTACATGCCTACATCATATGCTCGCCGCGTATCCGAGGAAGGCTCCCATTTTTTCTTTCAGCCTTCACAGCTCAGACAACTTCTCCACACCCACCTTAGCGTTGCATACTGGAATCAGTCTCACTTTGACAGCAATGGACTCAGCTGCCATGATGAATTCCCCGGATATATTCCGGCAACGATTCACCGGCAAAGCCACTTGGATTCGAAATCCAACTGACTGACATGTCTTGTGCTTGTTGTGTGTTATTGTAAGGTGACGAGATTTCACGCTGAGCGGGGATGGGGAGCCAGGGCAGAAATAGCTGCAGCAGATCATATTTCCCAGCCACAAATGTCGTCATGCAAGATGCAGCAGCCGGAGCATTGGCTGCTTGATACCGCAGAGACTCCACAGGATTCGTTGATCTCAACGGCGCTGCCGTCATGGTTCACGTAAACGACTGCAAGCCAGAAGACGTCGTGGCTTGCGGCAAATCCAGTCTTGCGAATTTTGTTTTCGGCCTGTGCAGTGTATGTTTTAAAGTCGCCCTGATGTGTATTGGTGAGGAGCTGTTCACCGGTGGCCAGCCGAGACCTGGAGACATTGTTTCTTTCGAAGTTGAGCCGCGCCAGGACACACTTGCCCCAACATAGCGTCACCAAAATGTTGATGACGAAAGCTAGCTTCCGGGTCTAGCTTGAGTTTCTTATCAAGCGTTAGCTGGCAACAAGGGGTGTGGGTGGAGACCCCCAGTGTGTGGTCAAAAATCCGGGTTTTTCAGCCAGACAGCAGGGCAGGGATGCGTCCTGGAAGTCGTTTTCCGACCCTTGAAGAACATGTAAAGAAGACCATATCTGACCCGTAAATTTTTCAGTAACGAACACCTTATGTCTGCTCAAGAGTACAGATAAAAGGGTGTGAAAGAACGCGTCACAAAAATAACTGATAAAAGGATGTGAAAGAACACGTTACAAGTGCCTCACAGGCAAAAGAATGCATCAAAAGAACACATGGTCGATCCATCGCATGAACCCTGGACAAGGTTCGTTCAAGCTTCCTGGCCTTCAAGGGCCTGCGCTTGAGCATAAGTTTATCATAGGTATATACTGTATTTACTAGCGTATAGCAGACTACTAGAGAGCTCTAGATCACATAGTGTAGGTAAAGTCCTAAGCAGGTACTACATCTCACATTTACAATGCATATTATTTGGGTGCCACACATGTTGGTGTCAATCACGAGTGTGTGTCCTGTAGCCTTCCACCTTCCCAGTAATTCAAAAAGGAGAGAGTGGGCTGGGACAGAGACGGGGCTAAGACCACTTGAAGAGTTGGAATGTGCCAGTTGACGAATGAAGCGATTTCTCGGTTCCTCCAACTCCAGCATCCTCCGCACAAGCATTTGTCAGAATCCTTCGTTCTTCGAGTCTGCATGCGCTGTGGGTGTGTATCTGCTGCTTGTAGCAGCTGTTAGCAAGGACAACCCCGGGCACATGCAGGCCAAAAGAGTCACTTGGACTTATGGTGACATTGAGTACGAATGGAAATTCTTTTGCCCGGGCTGATAGCATCTCTTAAAGAGGATGAGGATTAGCAGCGCCGGGCTTTAGTTGTCCGTATAAGAGGCAGGGCCAGTAAAACAAAGTCCAACCCAAAAGGCAGGCGACTTGCCTCAGGGTATTCATGATACCACCCCGTGCAATCAGCAGCCTTCTTTTCCGTTGCGCATAGTGCAGCCGCAAGAGTTGCTGCTGCAGGTCCTAGGTGGTACTGATGAGCGCTGCTGCAACACGAAAGGCAAGGGTCAAGCTGTCCCTGCACAAGGCGCGGCCGAGCGGGAGAGCAGGTGCGAATTTGGTATGGTCGTTACCCATGGGATGATATGATTCTCACAGCATCAAGAATCCAAACAGCTTACTGCTTACAGCAGTAAGCATGGAACGAATTGCCTTCCCGGTCATGTGGCAGGACACTCCGAACACAAATTGCAGGCAGCAGTCTGGAATGGTCTTGTCATTCTTGGAATGGTGTGTTTACTGCCACGTTTGTGGCACCAAGGACAAGGTGCGTGTAGCAGTAGGGTGTGGTGCGACTCCCTGCCACTTTGTGTTGCAGGTACCGGCAGACACTCTGGTATCGTCAAGGCGTTCAACACGAAAGGCGCGCCCGATGGCTTCTCAATCGTCAGGATGGTTGGCCGCATCCTGCCCAAGAAGCTTGCAACTGTCAATGTATGAGGACAAGAGTCTGCCTGGGTTTCCTCCGGCACATCAGTGGGCTGTGTTTTGGTCAAGGCTTCCAAATGGGCATGGGGGGCTACAGTATCTGCCACATCCTTTCTACGCCATGTTTCCGAATGGGACAGCGTGCAAATAGTTATCAAAATCGCAGATGTCAACCAGCAAAAGGCCACCTGAAACACAGTTTCACACTGGCAGGCCTTGGATGGGTTCAGTGCATGGATGGCTCGACTGCCTGGGTCGAGCTTGCCGACTGCATCGGATCTCGCCCCGTTACAGGCGACTCCGATTTGAATTTGAGTTATGGGTCCCTTATCCTGGCTGGGTTCACACCCGGCCACTGTACTTCCTTGCATCTAGTGGCCTTCTTCCTTGTGTACTGACTATGGAACACTTGCGTCTCTCTTGTTTGGATGACCAGCTCTCCATTCGGCCTGAATCAGGTGATCGCGTTCAATTCGACCTGCATCCCTGCGAAATCAAGCCCGGAAAGATGCAGGCCACCTCCTGAACATGCGAAGCTGATCGTGGCCAGTGCCCATGCACCACTGGTCCACAGGCAATGAACGTCACGGGTGGCACGGCGCCGATGGACCTCAAGGACGCTGTCCTGGGCGGCCTGGCCATTCGGTGCTAGGTTGAGTGTTGTAGCCAACTTTGTTGGAAACCTTCCACCCTTACTGCCAGCCTACTCCCTACCAGGAAGCTTTACTGCAGTCTCTCCTTCTGACATGTTGGGAAAGGCAAAGACATGGCCAAAGCAAAGGCGGCCGTGCACCTCAGCAGCCCTAAAAGAGACCAAAAGGGGCGGAAAGGGGCTGTACCGCAAAAGAATGTATCATGCCATATCACGCCCATCATCTCTTGCTTTGCCTGGTTGACAAGCATCGCATTTCTGACACATTGGATGGCCAATGTTCGGCACTCGGCACCATTCGTAGTCTTGAGGCCGGCCCCGGTGCTTCAACTAAAGCGCAATGCAAACGGCCATTTGATTGGCTGCGTTTCTGGGCAGGGGAGTGACGGCACCATTTTTAGTTGTTAGTGCATCGACTCGACTTGCGTTAGGATTGCTTGTCATGTCATAGGTCTGGTCGATGTGGCCGTGCTGATGTTTGATCCAGCTGAGGTGTGTGCTGGATGCCAGCAAACCGGCACATCAGGCATCCCAGTAATCACCACTATGACACATCACGATGCAGCAGCCATGCTTGCCGTGGTGGACATGCACCCGACAGCAGCGCAGCCTAATCCCCGCGTTGCAGGCATCACAGCCCCACATGTGATGCCACCAGTTCCCACACCAGGGATGATAAAGCAACCAGTGGTGGAGACCAACAGATCTAGCCCTTACAGTGGTGGCATGGGTAGCATGGGCAGGCTATACTAGAGTTTGCTATTCGATGATGTATCATCTGCACCAAAGTATGCAGCTGGCCCACTCCCAGCGAATGTCAGATTCAGATGCACAGCTATTCGCCTGTGTTGGCCCACCGAAGGCTGCAAAAGCTGCCATCTACACGCGCATTGCCTGCCCAGTACTATTTCCAAGATTGGACGGGCCTGGCAAAACAGCGTCGTGTTGCCGTGACGCTACTCAAGTGTGTCTCAGCCGTCTCTTCTGCACGCTGAGTTTACATGAACGCCATGGCATGAGCAGCGAAACAAAGGACTGCTGCCCTGTAGCACGAGACGCCGCCAAGCACTCAAAGCACTCGCCGGGGTCGCAGCACATCGCAGCACTTTTCGCAAGAGAGCCCAGTGACGCTGAAGACCGAGAAAGGTGGAGACTTCAAGCTCTGTGCAGTCTGAAAAGGAATGAGGCTCGTGGTAGCATGCAGGAATATTCTGGGATCGCTCGGAGCATAGGCCATTCATGGCCAATCTCTGAATTTGTATGAACTATTCCCCCGCTTCTGTAGAGCCCTGTGTGAGCCTGAGCAGATTTAGAACTTGATGCATCTTCTTCAACCACGAGCTGCTTTGTGACTACTGCTTGCGGGAAGATTGTTTAGCTCCCATCAATAGTGTGGGAAGTGTGAAGGCAAATCAAGCGCATCAGCTGCAGACAACTATGGCCCTGTAGGTGACAGCATTGGACGTAATTAGGCAGATCAAGCAACAAAGCAGCACACTTATTAAGAAGACTGATAAGGAGGGTGTCAAGAATCGTCAGCAGGCAGCAAGGGTTTAGCGGATGCTGAAGGCTTTGAGCATTCTAACGCTATGGACATGGCGTGTGGTGGGAGATGTGCACCAGCCGTCCGCCGAAGATTCATGCCGCCAACAGCTGTTGGCCAACGGCAACTGCTGTCTAGATCAGCGCAGCGACCCTGAGGCACTGCAGAAACAGATGTCTAGGCCAGGAACAGCTTGGCAATGTGTACTCCGAGACGGTTGTGTTTCAA